AGGCATGGTTGGTCCAGTGGTAGAATTGCCGCCTGCCACGCGGCAGACCCGGGTTCGATTCCCGGACCATGCAATTTTGCTTTCGCTTTTTTTTTCTTCGCTGTCCCTTCCGTCATCTCACACACTGTTCCTCCCACTTTTGTCAATCCGCTCGCTGCCTCTTTGGCTTTCTCCCTCACGTCTTTTTCTCCCTTGCACGATTACACATTCGTTCAGCTCACATTTGCGCAATTCCACATTGGCTTCAGTTCCTTATTTGCTCAGTTGCGCATTCGCCCCATACCGCTCTCTGTTGTTCATCGCCTTTGCTTTCACCACTCTTCCCTGCTCGCTTCCCCCTGCTCGCCTGCCAGCACCAGAGAGACTCTTTGCCAAAGTGGATGCTCCGCACATCTACCACTGTACTGGGTACTGTACTGAGTGCTGTATCGGTACTGTACTGGGCGCGGCTCTTCAATGGCATGATGGGTTCAAGGCTCCGCCCACCGACATTATCGCCTGCTCTGCTCATCATCGCCTGCCCATTCCCCAATCAAACAACCAAACAATCGCACCGCACACGACGCGAACGCAGCACAACTCCATCCATCCTCCTCCCTGTCGGAGGAGCGTCGTCTCTCGGATATTTGTTGCTGGCGGCCTGCCATCTACCAGCCACGACCATCGCCCAACTCTGTGAACCTGCGTCGCGCCCTCATAGTATCAAAATTCATTGGCCTCGATTGTGCAATGCGCCAGGGCAAGCCGATTTGCTCAAAGCCATCATTCCACTGTCGCTTATACTTCGTTGTCCGGGCTTTGAGCTGTGAGCGGTCGAGCAACACTGGAGCTTCGTGCGGTAGATATGATGGGTCTACTTGAAGGACTATCCGGCTGAAAGGATTTGGAAGGGTTCACTGATGCCGAGCCTTCACTCATTGTTGTTGCCGATGACCTCTTGATGATCTTGGTGATATACTGATTGACGACGCAGAACAGGAAAATGTCCAGGACCCATAGGAATATGCAGACGGCGTTTCCGATCAACCCGGTGGCGTCGTATTGAGTGTATACTTGGAATCCGACATACAGCGCCAGTTCAGTTGCGATCGCCACAATGAGGGTCGCCCCTTCGCGCTTGACCTCATCCCTGCTTTCGAAGCGACCCGTTGTGCTGCTTCGACTTTGACTTGTTAAAGTTCGCGACGGTGCCGACGATCTTAGTACACGTGCAGAGTTGACGAGGGAACGCAGTCGAAACATCATCAGGACATGGAGACAGATGAGGTTGATTTCGAGTGCCAGGTTGAAAATGAAGTTGAGGTACCACGATTCGGCCGTGGAAATGACGCCGTAGGTACTGAGGATGAAGCACACATCGTTGGTGCCATAGACGATCGGTGCAATCCCAAATACAAAGAGCCATGCGTACATTGGCTCGCTGTTGACGGTCATCACTCGCAGTCTCAACAGGTATGCCCAACCGATAGAGGCGGACCCGATGCAATCGCCAAAGGCATAGAGAAAGTTGGCGAACTGGGTGCAGTATGTGTTGGCTGTGCACACGTCATAAAGCATCAGTTGATTGCCAATGCAGTAGAGTGCCGAGAATATGGTTGCCAAAGCCATGAGCGAGTGTATCTGGAGACCGCGCTGAATGTTGAATGCATGTCTCCACTTGACGTATTTTGTGCAATGAAAAGCTAAATTGGCTGTGCCGATGTAGACGACAATCGAAAAGATTGAGGCATTTTGCATCACAACGGGATCCATGGCTGTGGTCTGGATGGTCTTGAGGGCTGGATCGACAGAGGTTGAATACGCGACGATATGGACGTCGGAGGCACTCGGGATTGAGAGAACAGTGCCAAAGTTGATGGCAAGACAGTGTCGGCTTCCAAGCGATGTGGCCGGGCTCGAGAAGTGCCGCTGAGGATAGATCCGGGACAGGGCCGGGGGAGCAATGCCATACGCGCTATATAGGTTACGGCGGCGGGAATATGTCCTGATGACGTCGGCAGATGCCTCGGCCTCATATGTCCCGTTTCTGAGGACACACGGGCGATGAATGCTCCGCCTGTGTGTCTGTGTGTCTGTGTCTGTGTGTTCATCGGTCGGGATGACCGGTGCACAACTTGGATGGGTGACGTTCGGCATTGTGTGAGGGACACGGCGTAACACACACCCCTTCGATATCGACTCCAGTATGAAGGCACTGCGGCCGATCACCCATATATATTGCACAGGGCTCCGATCCTGCCATTGTTCACATCCGACTGACATCATATGCGTATTCGCCAGCGGTGGCATTTCATTGATGTCGATATTCGACGCAATCACATCGCCGACTGAGTCATTTGTGTTCTTCTCATCCAGCAGAATCGCCGAGGTGGATCGCCAGTCCAACTCCCGTGTCCTTGCACTGCATTGCTTCGCCTTCATCTGCCACCTCCATCAGTGTGTCCAGGGTATTAGATACCGACATATTCGCACCCTCGGCATGTTGGGGTCTTTGTGGAATGGACGGCTTTCATCATGTCACCAACATGAGGGAGGTCGAGCACCGCAAGACCCGACTTCCATCCTTGGATAGTGGTGCCAACTGTCTGGGCGAGGATGAGTGCGCGGCAGAGAGACGAGGGCGAGATTGACCTTCCTTGAGGCCCAAACCTGTGATAAAAATGGAATCCAGTGGGCCTCTGCTTCTTGGCCACTCTCGACACATATCCCAAGACGATGTGCTATCGAGATTTGAAGTTGGCAGCAGTGCGGAAATCGCGGCTGTGATGCGCTTTCTTGTGAATGATGTATGTGCGCTTTGCCATAATCCGGCACGCTGAAGAGACAACTGAGCCCAACAGCTCCCACTGACAAAACCACTCCAAAGTCGGATCATTCATCCACTCGGCCAACAACGACCGAGTGGGAGAAGACGCAGAGCAAAGAGCGCAATCGTGTGGCGGGGCGGTCTGGATCGTGTCCACTCTTCCACCATTGTGGTTGCAGAACGAGGGATGATTTTGAATGTTGAGTTTGCTGTTGTCGAGAGGTCCGATGTTTCGGTCTGGCAATCGGTTTCTATCCGGCGATCAGCATCAGCGACCGTTGTGGGACAGCACTGTTTGTATATTGGATGGTTGGATGTATTGGATGTATTGGATGTATTGGATGTGTTGGATGTACTGAATATCAAATACAACACCACCACACTTCCCCATCACTGAAAACACTTTGCAAGTGCACTCTTTGGTATCATGGTGTCTGGGATGGGTGATGGCACGGTTTGCTTGGCTGCTTGCATATTCAGTACTGTGACAGAATCCTTGGAATATGGCAATCAGGAAGGGCTCGGAATCAGGGCCACTTGCCGAGTTGCTCGAGGTTGAAGCTGGCATATCGGAATCCCTGCTCAGTGGACTTGCGATACCAGAAAACGGCGGTATTGGCGTCCTCGGGGACACCAGCGTCAACCTGGTAGCAAAGGCCGAGATAATCTTGTCCGTATCGATTGCCCTGCTCGGCCGACTTGCGATACCACTCGACTGCCTTGGTGTAGTCCTCGGTGACTCCATGTCCATAATAGTGGCACCAACCAAACCATCCACTGCCCGTTGGAGTTGCCTTGGCTGGCCGACTTGCTGTACCACTCGAATGCCATGCGTCTGTCTACTGATTTTCCTCGGGCCCAGTAGTAGCAGCTTCCGATCCAAAACTGGCTGTCGCTGTGGCCTTCGTTGGCGAGCTGCTCAAGTATGGATGTTGCTTTCATTTTGTTCTTGGCGGTTCCGAATCCATGAAACAAGCACACAGCCGCGAGATGTCTGCACAGCCAGTCTCTATCTGATCCAAGCTGGCACAGCTCGAAGAACTTGCGAGATGCGGGCAAGTCACTATTGATGCTGTACCACCCCGCTTAAAAACACTCGGTCTCCCCAAGCTTGAATTCATCCGATTGGTTGTCTCAGATGATCTTGACACCTTTCTGCTTGTCCTGAACGGTACCCCGGACGAGGTAGTGCATCCATCCGACCATATGGGTGGCGATGGTTTGATGATCGGATCGATAGACTTGGTGCTGACATCCCGCCAGTGACCGAGAGCAGCGACATCGCTCTGTTCGACACCATGACCGATGGATTGAGACCAGGCCCTTGGTGGACCCCGGTTGATACCGATGCCATCGTGATAGCATCCAGCCAGTTGGAACTGTGCGATTGGATGGCTTGTTTTGGCGGCATTCTTCAGTTGGCGAAAGACTCGCTGGCGGATGGCTGCCTGCTTGGATTCGTTTTCAAACTGCTGATTGTCGAGATCGGTTTGGAGGATGTGCCAGGAAGTACGAGGCAGCAGCGTTTCCCCGGTCTGAGCAACGAGCCAGGATCGGTCGGTTGTCTCTTGATCATCGCAGCGCAGCGAGATGGCAATCTGGTCACTTGTATGGGCCAATCTGAATCTGTCCGTCTGGATCGCACAGTCCGTTTGGATCGCACAGTCCGTCTTCTGGCACCGTGTGGAAGCGAGGCAGCTTGGAGCTCAGAAGAGCCTGGGCGCATCTACACACATTCAAATGAATGCTGGGCGATATCGGGCATCGACGAGGTTGTTCTGGCTTCAGCTTGGCTTTGGTGGGTGGCAGATGACGTGTGGTTGAAGCAGGCTCGTTCATGCTGGCCATGTTGACGGAGACAGGAAGGAGGCAAGTGGGTGATGGATATAGACAGGAGACAGAGAGGGAAGTTGTGGAGAAGCAAGTCGAGCACTGGCAAGCCAAGCACACACACACATGTGCGTATCGAGTGCTCGTCCAATCAAAGTCGGAGCTGAATCAATCCTGGAATCGAAAGCAAGTCGAACATATCATCCAGTCTTGTCCGGTGGTCGGTGAACGACTGGTGTCGACGATGATTCTAGCGTCTCGTTGGCTCAAACATCAGTGATGCGGTTATGTGATTGGATGTGGGTGTGCTGTTCAACAGCGAGACCAGGACTCTCGTGTTGCCAATATCACAGACATGGTGAATGTGTGTGTGGAACAGTTACGGATGGATCGATGCAAACGACGAGCCCAGGTTGGCTGGAGATGCAAGTGAAGCTCCGGAGTCACATTCTGCAGGGATTGACAAGATATCACCATAGTTCGAGCTGATGTGATGCTTACACAGCCGAGCTGCGCACCTGATCACACACTGAGAACGCGGCTGTTGTGGACAAATGTGCTGCCCAAGATCCAGGAATAGCGATGCAGGCATATTCGATTGATCACGAGCCGTACCACACATTGATTTGATGTATCAGGGCTGACAGATGGACCATGGGTGGAAAAACTCTCCCACTGACCAAGGACAACTGGATCGGAGTGTATGAGGGCAGGGTTGGAAGGAATGCTAACAGCTACATGATCCGGCTTTTCTTATTGTTGTGGCCATGGTCAGAGGGCTTCTTGCGAGAGGACCCTGCAATCGAGGATCCGAGTGGTTGGCATTGCTGACCAATCTTTTTTCAATATCAGCAATGCCGATCTCAGCCTCTTTGATATCTTTGTGCTCGGGATTCTTGATGGTCTGGGTCCAAATGTCCAAAGCTTCCTGGTACAAGCCGAGTGCGTTGGCGTATTCCCCTTGAGCGTTGGACACATCACCCAGATTTCTGAGGGTCGTGGCAATCTCAGGGTGCTTCCGATTTTTGTAGACATTTGTGAAGATATCCAAGGCTTCTTGGAGCATGCTTTGTGATTCGGAGAGCTGTCCTTGGAGAAACTTGAGTTTGCCATGAGCATCGAGGGTCCACGCAACATGCACATGTTGCCGAGTTTTGAAGGCCTTGACAAAGACACCCAATGCCTCGAGATAGCTGACTTCAGCCAGTTCGTAATTGCCTTGGATCAGAGCGACATTCCCGAGGCGACGGATCGTTATAGCGACATCGGGATGCTCTCGTGTTCCATAAACCTTGGTGTGTATGTCGAGCGCCTCCTGGTAGCACTTGAGGGCGGTCTCGTACTTGCCTTGAGACGAGGCGACACTGCCCATGTTGGCGATTGTGGTGGCTACCGAGGGATGTTCCCGCGTGCCATAGATCTTGATCTTGATGTCGAGTGCCTCCTGGTAACGTTCGAGGGCGGTCTCGTAGTCGCCTTGGGAGGAGGCGATATCCCCGAGACAATGGATCGCCGTGGCTACTGAGGGGTGTTCTCGTGTCCCGTAGGCAGTGGCCATGATATCCAATGCTTCTCGGTAGTGCTCGAGGGCGGCCTCGTAATTGCCTTGGGAAGTGGCAATATCCCCGAGGCATTGGATCGTGGCGGCGACATCAGGGTGTTCCCGCGTGCCATAGACCATGGTCTCGATCACCAACACTTCTTGATAGTACTTGAAGGCAGTTTCGTAGTCACCTTGGGATGATGCGATATTGCCCAACTGATGTATCGTGACAGCGATATCGGGGTGTTCCCGCGTGCCATAGACCATGGTCTCGATCACCAGCGCTTCTTGATAGTACTTGAAGGCAGTTTCGTAGTCACCTTGGGATGATGCGATATTGCCCAACTGATGTATCGTGACAGCGATATCGGGGTGTTCTCGTGTGCCATATACTTTGATCTTGATGTCGAGTGCTTCTTGATAGTGCTTGAGAGCGACTTCGTAGTTGCCTTGGGCGGAGGCGACGTTTCCCATCTGATGGATCGTGGCGGCTACCGAGGGATGTTCCTGTGTACCAAAGACCTTTACCATGATTCCAAGTGCATCTTGGTAGTATCTGAGGGCGGGTTTATAGTCACCTTGGGATGATGCGATATTGCCTAACTGATGTATCGTGACAGCGATATCGGGGTGTTCTCGTGTACCATATACTTTGATCTTGATGTCGAGTGCTTCTTGATAGTGCTTGAGAGCGACTTCGTAGTTGCCTTGGGCGGAGGCGACGTTTCCCATCTGATGGATCGTGGCGGCTACCGAGGGATGTTCCTGTGTACCAAAGACCTTTACCATGATTCCAAGTGCATCTTGGTAGTATCTGAGGGCGGTTTTATAGTCACCTTGGGATTCGGCGACATTTCCCAACTGGTGCATCGTTGCTGCGACTTCAAGGTGTTCTCGTGTACCAAAGACTCTGGTCTTGATATCGAGTGCCTCTTCATAGTACCTGGAGGCGACTTCGTATTTGCCTTGGGCGGAGGCGACGTTTCCCAACTGGTGTATCGTGGCTGCGACTTCAGGGTGTTCTTTTGAGCCGTAGAATTCGATGCATTTGGCAAGATGCTGCTCATATAGCTCCATCGCCTGGGTGTAGGACCCGCGTATGTCCGCCATCTAAGCAATGCGATATTCGACTACTTGATGAATGTCCGCGGTATACCCATCTGCTGCCACCACCGCCGAAAATTCCTCAAGATGCTCCAAGTACGGATATGCATCCACCAGCAGAGATTCGGTTAGCTCAATCAGAGCTTCACCCGCTGCATCTTCAATCGCCTCGGCATTCAGTTCACTGTGTGCTTGGACATACTCTCGAGCCACTTGCTGGGTGAGCGAGTGTGTCGAGTACCGTCCCTCGTTTCCACTTCGGAGGAGACCACTCTGAACCACCATCTTGATCAGATCGGCCACTGTGGACAGATGGATGATCAGTTCCATGCACTGGCACCATCAACTGCACTTCGATCCACTCAACTCACCTTCGATCTTGAACTCCATCTTCTGTACAATCTCCTTGATCAACTCAAACTGGATGTTGGCCGGTGCCACCAGACTGAGGGCACCGAACAGCCTGGTTGCCTCGATGCCCTCATCTCCTCGCTTCATCAGCGAGTCCAGCGACAGATCCACAATCACCTTGAGCGACGACCGCGTGTCGTCCTCGCCATCCTGCAGCGCCAATGCTCCTGCAAACGTGGCCTCGAGCTCCGACAGGGGAGTGTCGTAGTTCTCGGCAAACGTCATGAATGTCTGGATGACGAGTGGATATCCGCTGATCTTGGCCACGATGTTGTCGAGGGATTTCCTGGCCTCGTCCGACACAAGTCGCTGAACAATCATCGGCGATGACGACATGATATAGTCGAGTGTGGTGGAGTCGTCCCAGTTGCCGAGACGGATCAGATCGTGCTGGAAGCTCGGTACCTTGGTCTCAAGAGCACTGGTGAATGCACCAGGAGGCAGCGAGGCCAGCCGGGTCGTCATCACCACATCGCCGCCGAACCCGACCGACTTGGAGTGCTCAAACACAGAGTCGACCACATTGATGTCATCGACATTGTCGAGCACCAGGAGATAGCCATGAGTGTTGGCGAGGAACCTCGAGGCATGTTCCTTGATCACATCGGGCTTGATGCCAGGGAACATCTCGATGAGTCCATCGATGGCAGTCGACTCGGTCGAGCAGTTGATCCAGAAGACCTGGCGGTACTGTGGCTTGATGCCGATGGTCTCGGCTTTGATGGCGAGGAGGTCGTCCTTGTTGCTCGCATTCATAATGCCCATCATGAAGAACAGGATCTGGATGGCGAGGACGGACTTGCCCATGCCACCCATGCCAGAGATGACGGCACGGCCAGTCAGGGTGAGTTGCTTGAGCAGGGTGTCGAGGTGGACGGGATCGAATCGGAACTTGGAGTCGCAAAAGTATTTGTCATGGATGGCCGTAATGAGATCCATGTTGGGTGGGATGGGATGGACGAGGTTGAGGAGGCGGTAGACTCGCTTGTGCATCTGGTCGGGACGAATGCCAAGGGATTGGATCTGGCTCACTCTGCCGAGGATCTGCTTGAGG